AAATCTGCTCAAGACGCTGAGGCAGACGTGCAAAAAGAAGAGAATCCTACCTTGCTGCTTCTACAAGATTCTCAGAAACAGTGCACCAAAGAGGCAAGAACAGCCAAAAAGGACCTGAAATAGTTGAACAGAAAGAAAACTCTGATGTGGCTTCTCTTGCAAGGGCCATTCCTTCTTCTACCCCATCCTTTGATACTGCTCCTGCTTCTGCTTAGAAAATTAAAACTACCAGAATTAACAGTGGGTCACTCCTTTTCTTATGTGAATGCCACTGCTGATGGGAAAGCATGGCCACCCACATGCCATTCTCCTGATCTTCTGAAACTCTCCCATACTCTCAGAAATCTTCCCAGAGCCATGACTGAAGATGGCTGCTGACACAGCAAAGTGTGAACCTGAGATTCAGCAGCCTGTGGGCAAATGCTGCTCGTTCACATCCACGTTCCCTTCCAAAGCTGTGCTTTGGATTCCACAGTCTGGTTTCTGCCATGTCTCTGAGAGCCTGCAAGCACATCCCTGCCTCCAATGAGAGGTCTCCATCTCTCCTCCTCTGAAATGACAGGCTGCATTCGACTGTTCAGAATCACATTTGGTTCTCATTTTCAAACAGACATCCAAGATATTATTTTTAGAAGAAGCTATACTGGTATTTGCAAAAAATAGACTTCTTTGCTTTTATCCCAAATGGGGTCTTTTCCAAGTTTCTTTTCCTACTTTAGTCATATCTCTAAAGCTGTTTGCATTAAACAATCCTATTCCAGAAGCACATTAATCAGACTCTCTTTGGGCTCCTATTGCATGTGCCTTTCTCTGTGTCACAAGGCAAAAATAGAATCAGCTATCACCTAATTCTCTTCCCCAGCAGAGGAAGCCCCAGTTTGAGGGCCATACATGAGTGATAGCAGGTCCATTCAGCATTGGCCTGGTGCCACTGACACCCATGCATCGAGAGAACAGCCTCCCAAGACCTGTGCCCAAGCGTGGGGAGTTGGCCCTCACCAGACCCTTGCAGCTAACAGTGCAGATCCAGAACCTGGTGCAATTTACCAAAAGGAGAGGAGAGCTGCCAGCAAGGGCTGGCTTTTCCAGGTGCTGACTTGCCTGCCTGGCTGTGGTCCTGTGGGGGCCCTCAGAAATCTGCTCTGGAAATGGTTTTCTCTGCTTGGCTATGTTTACAGCTCTGAGAAAACCTGGCCAGATAAGTAAAAACACATCCCTGATGGGTATTGGGGGTTGTGTTGCCTGCTGGCAATGAAACTCAAGGCAATTCAGCAGAGATAAGCCATAAAAACAAAGACAGGTTTGTTTGGGGTTTCTTCAGCAGATTCCTAGAAAAAGACCTGGACTTAATGAGGTATTGCTGCAGCATCCAGAGGCAAGGCGAGCATGGAGTGCTGGTGTCTGCAGAGTGCCAGTCAGCCTGCAGCCACAGGAGCAGGAGGGCAGAGTAAGGCTGGAAGTCCCACACTCTGGCTCCTTCCCCAGGAGTCTGCAGGTGCCCCTCAGGTGATGCTGTGAGCATTGGGGATGCACATACCTCAAGCAAGGACCATCATCATGGGCCTCTGTGACCTTGGAATCCAAGCTCCCTTGCCTACCACCAGCAAATTGTAGAGCTGCCTTTCCCAGATATCAGGGACAGCATGGACTCACACACCTACCCAGACCAGGGGTGTTCTTTCCTGGCAGGAAAGCAAAAGGAACCCTAAAGACACCAAAGGACACAGAGAACAATTGCCACCACACCAAAAACAAATCTGCCATCCCCGACCAGTCTCTGAAAACCACTGTGAGATTTTAGTAATGGGGTGGGCAAACATGCCCACACAGCATGAGACCCCCTCCCAGAGGTCCTCCCTTACCTCCTGCCAAAAAGCTGGCCAGGCACTGCTTCACACCAAGCTGAATGAGATCAGCTTTCTGGTCCTGTTAAGCTTCTTCCGCTGGTCCATGCTGAATTATTTAAGACCATATTTTATTAATCCACCACAGCTTTTTCCACTCAACCTCTAGCAAGTCACTTAACCACTCTGAATGGGTTGCACTGGCTTCATCCTCTTGCAGTGATGCTGACAGAGGTGAGAGAGACAAGCCATTACTCTGCTACTGCTTCTGAAATATTCCAGTAGACCAAAGTGGTCTGTTGGACAACAAGAGCACTGGATTTACCCTCACTCTAGATCTAGAGGTTCTAAACACACAAGTCCTTTTGTGTGGGTTATGACAATACTTTCGTTTAGAAAACTCCTGCTAGGATAGTGTACATACTTTTAAAACAAGCTCAGTGTAGCCAAAACCAAGCAAATTCTGGCTACAATACTGCCAGTGCCAGCACAGGGGCCAAACACCAGTCCTAGAAATTGGGCACTGAAGGAAATGTGTCCCCAGCCCCTGCCCTCCCCGTGTCCATCCTCACCTGAGCCCTGCATGCAATGACAGGCAGGCAGGGACTGTAGCTCCAAGCCATCATTGGCTGGACCAAACCAAGGGTCATTTTTTCAGTCTCCACTCACTGGCAGTGGATTCTGACAGCATTTACCACCAAGGCCAAGCAGCTGATTTCTGACTTGGGGACAGTGGTCCCACTCCTGCTCTGGTGGGGGATACACAGCACCAGCCTGCACAACTGGTGAGGAATTATCTGCCCTCCTTCAGGCAAGATGCCATTTTTCCACATTTTCCTCTTCAGGAACGTAATTAATCTGTATGAAACAACCCTGTTTTCTTCTCAGTTTGTGTTCACTGCCCTGATAAATGAGAAGCACAGGAGAAAACCCTTCCCCATGAGGCCTCTTTCCCCGCTGAAGATGAATGTGGCAGGAGAATGGGGTGACAGCCTGCACTGAAGTGGTACCTAAGTCCCAGAAGGTCGTGGCTCAATAATCCCAGAGGAGACCACGTTCCCACATGGGCTGCCAAAGACAAGGATCCAAGAGAAATTTAATTCATATCAACAGATGATACTCCCATGTAACTCTGATCTTTGAACACACTCTGACATTCACAAGATGTTCTAGCTTTACTGCCCACATAAACATCCACTGGGGCTGCTATCTGGGGGGAAGAGGGAGCTAAATATTTAATTTCAGTCTATTTCATCAAATATTTAATCTATTTAATATTAATTAAATCTTGGTCTGAATAAACAACAGCTAAAAATTCACCTCTTCCTCCAAACATCTGATAACTTGAAGATGTCAGTCCATGCAATCCCAAGTGAGATGTCAATTAATTAGAGGGGAGGGTCCTATCTTTATGTTCTCAGTTGCTGGAATTGCTGTAGTAGATTGTTTTCCTCCCACAGCATTTCAGGCTGAATCCTTTTGCAGACGGATGTACAGCAGTATCATCTGGGTTACACCAACCACTTCCACACCCAGCTTCACCATGTCTCATTTTCCATGGCCTCTATTTGTACATCCCCAAGTGTGTGCCCTCATCCTATCCCCAGTCACTCCTACATCCTCAGCAGTGGGAATCCATGAAGCTAAGATGATGAAAACAGCTATTTGACTTAGGGCAAACAAAACCCAGGTCCCCCACGGGTGGATGTCACTCCTTTGTGACACCACATTGTTTCCTAGTCCTTGACCACCCTCCTGACACAGTTGCACGTGCAATGGGCAATGTTTAACACACGTTTAATTGCACATGCAATATGAAATGGTTACACCGCAGTGGCATTCAAATCTCTCACATCACCCAGCAGCAGGGTCAGGAACAGGCATTTCTGGGAACAGTGAGCAACAGCTACAATATGAGCAGATAATTTCTAAAGCAAATGTTTAAGCCAATTAACACTGGGCTTTAAAGGCAGTTGCCACCATTGCATCTGTTGCTACAATCATCTTATTTTACTACAGAAAACCCTGTTTGGAGCAAATCCCATCCATACCAGTCACAGCAGCCAGAGCACATTCTCTAATTAGTCCCCACAGAGCCAACAGTGATGAAAGATTGCCCTGCATCCAGCACTGCTTACCTTGCTCTCCTCAGTGCGTGCCCAACTCAGCAGAGCAGCATTTAGCTTTTCTTTTCCTCCCTGATGCACTGTTTAAAAGCCATCTCACCCAAAGACTCACTGGTGTTGATGAAAGCAATTATACTGCTTCTCAGAATGTATCGGATGTATCTTCATTACCCTGAGACAGCAACACCAAAGGCCCTAGATGGTAAATCTTCCAAAGTAAGCAAGTCAGGTGATTTCATTTGAACTGGACATTTTAACTCTCCTATCCCCACTAGATTTAGAGGCTGGTTTAAAGCCACAGGATATTTGTTTTAAAATAATAAATTCAGGATTACTTTTAACTTAACATCTCTGAAGTATAAATATTTGGGTTGTGCTTAGGTTACACGTCAAACCCATAACCAAGAGTAAAACAGGGCGACTGCATTCCCTTTTCATGGTGGCCACGTGGTTGACTGGGGTCATGCCACTTCTCTGTGTTTTGGGTACTCCCTGGGGAAAAGAAGAGCTCAGTGCTGAATTTGGTGTCCCCTGTGGAAGTGTGCCCTGTCTCGGTAATAGCACAGCAGAGACAACAAGCATGGAGAGCTGTTTGTGCCAAGGAAAGGTTGCCTAAATTAAAAACAGGACCTTCATTCTGGCAAGCCCTGCTCAAGGAGCCATTTCAGCCCAAGTATCTGCATCGTGGAACCAAGAACAAGCTCAGCCTTACACAGAGAGGGCTTATCACTAGATTATCCAGGAACTGTGGCTGCAGGAATAAGCTGGAAAAAGGGGGAGCTCCAGCAGGGTATAAATCAGCATCCCAGTAGCCAAGCTCCCAGGTCTGCCACACTCAGGGTCCAACCCTGCATGGTTTGGTCTGCAAGAGGAGCAGTTTGTCCAAATTCTTCTAGTGCCAAAAGTTATCCTGGTAGCAAAAGACCAGAATTCATCTTTTCACTTCTCAAAAAAGTTCAGTCAGTTCAGAAAAGAAGTTTGGGTGCAGAGTCCTAAATATTTATATATTTATTTCATTTTTTACAGGGAATCTTTCAGTAACACCTTAAGGTATCAAACTTAAGATGAATACTTTGCAGCAATGCCACATCCACAGATGAAGAAAAGGCAGCCTCCACCAGAAATTATTTTATCAGAGATGTCCAGCAACAAGAAGCTTGTCTTTTTCTTTTTTTCTGTGGAGAGCAATTGAAAAACAAGAAAAAAAGGCCATAAAGTCATGGTCCAACAAAACAACTGTTTCAAACAGCAACAGAGCAATCTATTCCTCCATGCAGCAGCTGACTTAAAGCAAATGTTTCTCATGTCTGGGAGTGAACCCTGCAGCAGGTCACAGAGCTCTGGAGGACCTCAAGGCTGCTCCTGCAAATGCAATATCCTGGGCTGTGCCCAAACCAATTTGGGCCAAAGGCTGCAGGCGCTGCACGCAGGAAAGCAGGGACACTCAGGTCAGCTCGTCTCACCTCCTGGTAAAACCCATTCCCTCCATCACTCACCCAGAGCCAGCTGCTGGCTTTTGACTCAAACACGCCTTTGAAAGCCCTCCAGACCCGCTGCAGAGCATTGCCAACAGGAAACACGTGTCAGTGGAATTTCTCCACTAGTGCAAAAGGCACTGCTGGCCCCAGGAAATCCCAGAGCACCCAATGACCCCCGGGCCTCCTGGGAAGGGCCTTGCTCTTCACTATTCCCTAAAATCTGCTACAGGCCACTCTCAGAGCCACAGAAGCAAAGCAGGACCTGAGATCCAAGCCAGCACGGATGCTTTCTCTGAACTCAGCCAACATGGAATCGACGATCACACTAACAGACTGAACTAGAGCTTAAGCAGTTTTAAACTAGTTTAAGCCAACAAGTTTATACCTTTGTTGATGATACCTCAAGTGAGGGTGTTGTCTTCCTGCTCCCTTTTATAGTCTATCCTCATGCCTCTCTATTGGATTTGGGTGTTGAGACCCACCTCATGCCCCCATACTCCTGGATGTGAGATGATGACCTCAAAATTTGTGGTCCTTGTTGGAAAATGAGTTCTCCTAGGGGACAGCTTAAATGGCCAAGGTGCCCCAAGATGGAAAAATGCTGAATGACCAGCTCAAACATCAGTATCTCCATTCAACACCTCTTAACAACCCCTGCTCCACAACAGCAGGCCTCCTCCTCTGCTTGCATGACACCTCCCTCCTGGGACTAGCCATGGTCTGACACAAAAAAGGCACAGATTCCTGTGTCCTCCACAGCCCTGTTCACCATCCCCTCTGCTCAGCCTTAAGGATATTTGGGGTTGTGCTGTAGCCTCCCTGCACTGTGCATTCCTGCACTGTGAGCCCCAGATGGAATTTCACCTGGACTTCCAAGGGCTCAGACTACAACACTTTCTGTTCCCAGAGATGTTGGGATCTGGTCCTGAGCATTTGTGAGCCGAGTGACTGCCAGTGGCTACTGCAAGGGTTGGGCTGATGAAAATTCTGTTCTCTCTTCACTCCATTTCTACACCTTAAGGCCAGAAATCACAGCTACTACAAACATTTCACAAGTCACAGAGATGCTCCTATAAACCACCTGCAAAGAGCAGTTCACACCAGAGATGATGAGAGCTGCAAGTGGAGCTGTCTGCCAGGGCACTGGCTATAATAATGGAGAAATCTCAACAGACTTTGAACTTTTCCAAAGAACAGGGAATGTTAAGAAATAAGACAAAGAGCTTCAAATGGTGAAAGCTTCACAGGCAACATAGCCACCACCCAACCCAGAGGGAACCTTCCCCTGAGCATGAGGATGCAGGGTGGGACTGGGGGTACTTAGAGCACAGGAAGGCTGATGGACACTGCCTGAAATCTGCCAAGGCTCCTCTGGGTGTGGGAAACTCATTTTGTGTGAGCAGAGTGACTTAGGCCAAGTCCCTCCCTCACTGGAAAGAGGCTCCTCTCTGTGGCCAGCTCCTTGGCCCCCTGAGAACGTGGACCAAAACCCCATGGGAACAAATGAAGGGCTCAGGGACAAGCCCTGGGCAGGCAGCCACAGGTCTCTGCAAGAGCAGCCCTGCTGCTCATGCAGCTCTCCCCAGAACCATTTCAGGACATTTGCTCCTCCAGACCAACTCACCTGAGCTCCTCCTGCACATCCCTTGTCTGGCACCTTTATGTCCTCCTCAGGGGTCCCCACACAAGGGGTGGTGTGCAGGGTCACCCCACAGAGGAAAGTGGTGGAGAAACATCTCCCAGGGCACAGCTGGCAGTGGTGTCTCTGCCTGGTGTTTGCTGTGCCAGCCTGGCTGGCTCCCACCCAGCTGGGGAGACAGGTTCCCCCTCCTCCCCTCACACCATTAACCTTTCAGCCCCAAAATAAAAGGTTATAAAAAACAATCAAAGTACATTACATCCCTTAATGCGTCATTTGCAAGGGAATGACCTGGAAGCAATGATGGGGAGCGAGTCAGGAGGGGGAAGGGGAAGAACCTCAGTCTCCCAGCCCCAAACCCTGCAAAATACTCTACTGTCCACACTAGAGATTTGGCAGCAAGGACAACTGACAGCCAGAGGGGTGGAGCAAGTGCAATCAATGGCTCTGGATCACTTCATGTCCCAGGAACTGACCCAGAGTCTCCCACAGGATCTACTTTGTAAAACCCTCCAAAGCCATCAGGGTCAGCCCAGACAGAGTGGAAGCAGGACACTCTACCCAAACCAAGTTCCCCTGACCTGCAAAGGCCACCATGGGGTGACCCAGATGTTCATCCCTGGGCCACCATCAGGTGCCCTACACCCCGCAGTGATGCTGCGTGCACACCCTGGCCCCCTGCCACTGTGCCAAGCACCTCCAGCTGCACCCCTGGGGCACTGGCAGAGTGGAGCCACTAGACCAGCAGCTCCCACACGGAGCTCTGGTCATTTATTTTCTCACCAGAAGCAGTTCCATATTCGGTGGGAGAACGTTCCCCCATCACCTCCCTCAGGGAGGGTCTTGGCAGCACTGGTGAAAGGGCAAGCAAGCCCTACCTCCTGGGGGCTGGAAGTGGACACTCAGGTGGACACTCCTGCGTTTATCACAGAATGTTGCCTTCCAGCCTAATTGTTTCTAATCCCATTTGCAAACTCATTATTACAAACCCTCACAATAGCTGCAGATGCCATGGCAGGCAGGCTGCACTCCCAGAGTGCCACTCACACCCTCAAACCCTACGCTCTTTTCTTGAACAAACACATGAATGCCCTTCCTGTGGCACAGAGAGGGGGGTGGAAATACCCAAGAAATATCAAGGACTCATTTGTTATTATGCCACTGCATCATGAACAGAGCCATTGTTCCTACCTGGGCTGACAATCCCTTTCAGACAACACGAGTGCTTTTCCCAGTGTGTTCTTCAAAAAATGGCAAAACCAAAGGTACCGGCAGATCGCTGAATGGTTCAGAAAATAAAATACAACAAAATAAAACAGCTAACGTTATTCAGAGGATTTTCACACTTGATCTGTAAACGCTTTTTTATTTAATAAAAATAATCATCCATTATAGCAATTTCTGCTTGTGGTTTGGTTTTGTTTTTGTTTTGTTTTGTTTTTTTACATTAAAGCACAGTTTATTTGCTTTCCTCACCTCTTGAGGATTCAGTTCTGAAAATGCAAGTGAATGTAAACACTGCTCTCCAAGTCCCAAGATGCATCCAGGGACACTTGGAGTTAATTAGAAAGTCAAAAGAGAGCAAAATCAACAAAACACTTCCCAAAAGTAAAAACTTATTTTTAAAGTCTCTTTCTATGTACCATACAACTCCAGAAAAGGCAAATTCATTTATACATTCAACGTATACAAACTTTGCTTTCTCCAAACCATTTCTGTGTCCTGTCAGCATTTGATAAAGCTGTTTTCCTAGCATTAAAAAACTTATTTATTGTGTTAAATCAAAAGTTTTTCCTATAAATGTTCTCCAGAAATTTTTTCATGGCACAAGGATGTTAGATTTGTTCTGTCCATTTTTGTTTTTGGATTTTATTTTTTTAGCACAAAGAGCTGAAAGCCATTTCAGGAAAGAGTGTAAAAGCAGTATTAACTCTCTCTCCTGTTCCAATCTCACAATATTTACACTTGGATTAAAAAAAAAAAAAAAGCTTAATTACACTATAAAACAATGGAGAAACTGGAAGTTAAGTTTCTCATTTCAGAGTTTTGCCTTGTATAAGACTGAAAGAGGGATGCTTCCCTATTTCCTAGGAAAGATGAGACTGGCAAGTTAAAAACTGAACTCTTTCTTAATTGAGAAAGATGAATGGCCACTGTGCACAAACCCCTTCATCTCTGCAGGAAATCCTGCAGGAGTTAAACCATCACAAATCAGCACAGATGAGAGAACATGGTAGGCAGAGCCCTGCTGTTTGCTTTGAAACGTGACTATTTACAGTTGAGGTGGAGGAAGCAAGTGAGCATCGAACACATTTCAGTGCTGCAGAGCGGTATAAAATCAAACGAGATTAACTCGTGGGGAGCTTGGCAGGGTCCCAAGGCTCACGTTGCAAGGGAGACAGTCTCTGTTGCCTGGGACATCCCTGCCTGCACAGCAAAGCCATCGCTCTGTCGGGCTCTGCTCTCACAGTAACGAGATGGCAGTTGCCATCTCAGCTGTGTTGTGTCACAGGCAACACAGAAATTAAACAGAAACAGGTATGACATTAAAAGAATAGCAACAAAAATAGCCAGTCTGGTGAGGTCTGGGATCCTAAGCTTTAAAGCCAAAAAAAAAAAAAAAAAAAAAAAAAAGAGACAGGAATTTGGGAATTTTGGTAATATTATCAAACTGTCAGGTAGGGGATGGCTCTAGTTGCTCAGTGGTTTTGCAGGGGGTAGGAAAAGAAAGACCTTTAAAGTACCAAAGATAATTATAGCATTCACAGTTTCAAAGCTGCTTGCCTTACAAAAATTAAGACATTCAAATTCAAGAATACAATACTGTATTTTACAAGAGGGTCAAAATTCATTACATATACAACGGGGGTGGGGGCGGGGTGGGGGGGGGAAGTCACAACAAAATAAAAAAGCCAACACCTCTGGTGGGCATACTCCCTCTTTGTTGTTCGTCTCGCAGAGCTGCATGATGTTTGCCTTTAAAGAGTCAAACTGAGCAGTCATGAGAATATCCACTGAGGGATTCTGGCAAAAGAAAAAAAAAAAAGAACTAACAAAATAAACCAAGCAAGTCAAAGGCCATCCTCCCCTGGCAAGCTGAATGCCACGGCTCGGACCTCCACTTGCCTGCTGCTCCTCACTGTTCCCACAGGCTCATCTCAGGTTTTAAAGGCTTCCTGCTCATGAGCTGAAGGAAACCATCCCACGCAAGCACAGCCCAAGAGAGACGTACTTCACACTCCTACAAAGTCTTGGTTAGTCCTGCCAGTACCAAAGGGTCCTTCAAACATTCCTTTTCCTCTCTATCCTGCAGAGGATCCTTTTGAAAGCCCGTCTGAAGTCATGGTTGAAAATGGTATAGATGACGGGGTTCAGGGAGCTATTGCAGTAACCAAACCAGAAGAAGAACTTGAAGAGGGTGTCAGGCACGGAGCAGCTCTCGCAGACGGCCATCAGCGTGTAGGTGAAGAAGAAGGGGAACCAGCAGATGACAAAGACCCCGATCACCACTGCAAGCACAAAGGTGAAACGCTTCTCCCGGTTCTGCCTGCCTCTCCAGCGGGACCCTTTGGTGTTCCTCTCCTCCTCTGTCTTCCTGGGCAAACTGTCCCCGGGCTTAATTTGGCTCAGCTTAGTCTTGGTCTTTCCTCTCGATGGCCTCTCTGACTTCTTGCACTGGTTGTTCTCCTGGTGCTCAGAGGAAGAGGTCTCCTCCATGTCTATGCCATTAACCTCTCCCTCTTGCCCACCACTGCCTCCTGCTGCCTTCTCCCCGTTGAGCTGCGCTGTGGCTGGCAGGTCCTCCTTGTCAGTCAAGCCATTCTGCTTCTTCTCGGGGCGCTCTGCCCGCTTGTTCGGCGGGACCCTGGTTCTCCTCTTGGCTATCTGGTAGATGCGCATGTAGACCAGGATCATGATGAGGCAGGGGGCAAAGAAGGAGCCGATGCTAGAAGAGATGATGTACCACTTCTCATCGTTGATCTTGCACCCTGCCACCCCCTGGTCAGCCTGCTGCCCGCTCTTCTTCTCGATGGAGATGAGTGGTGGGAAGGAGATGACAGCCGAGATGACCCAGACGATGAAGATGATGCATTTGATGCGTCGCGGGGTACGCTTGAGGTTGTACTCGATGGCTTGCGTAATGGACCAGTACCGGTCCAGGCTGATGGCACAGAGGTGCACAATGGAGGAGGTGCAGAACAGCACATCCAAGGCCAGGTAGATCTCACACCAGACTTTACCGAAGTACCAGTACCCCATCACCTCATTTGCCAGCGAGAAGGGGATGACCAGCGTGGCCACCAGGATGTCAGCTGAGGCTAAGGAGACCAGGAAGAGGTTCTGGGGGGCTTTGAGCGCCCGGCTGGTGAAGACAGCGATGATGACCAGGACGTTGCCAAAGACGGTGAACAGCATGAGCAAGCTGGCCAGGCTGATGAGAGTGATGGTGGTGTGCAGAGGGTACGGCGTGCCCCAGCCCGGGCCGGCCCCGCTGTCGTTGAAGGTCCCATTAGCGCCGGGAGGGGGGTAGCCCTCCTCCTCCTCCAGCTGCCGCTGGTACTCCATGGAGGAGAAGAAGTGGCCCCTCTCCGTGAACGGGCGCTCCAGGTTAAACATCAACCCCGGCTGAGCGGACACCCCCGCCCTTCGCCCCGGCTCCACCCGCGCCGCGCCCGGCTCCGAGCGCGGCTCGCCCGCGTCCTACTGCGCCTCCGGCCGGGGCAGAGCGGCGCGCCGGGGGCCGGGGGGCTGCGGGCGGGCACGGCGCATCCTGAGCGCTGCCGCGGGACCCCCGAGCGCGCCGGGACGGGCGGAGCGGGGCCGAGGCTGGAGCTGCAGCCGGCCGCGGCTGCTCTGCCTCGCTCGCCGCCGAGCAGCTTTATAGCCCCGGATCGGGCCGGGGCTGCCGCGTCAGCCCCACGTGGGGAGCTGCCCCCGGTGCGCGCACACGCACACACAGACACAGACAGAGACACACATGGACGGGCAGACACACACGGACACGCAGCCCGACTCGCACACCGCGCACCCTGCACCCACACCGACACTCGCGTCCCCCGCACACGCCCCTCGCTCAGCTCCCACGCCCGCTCCGCGCACACACCGCACCCGCTCGCACTGCCTGTATTTGCACACCCGCTCGCTCTCCGCCACTTCCGCGCACACATCCGCACCCACTGTCACGCTGTCCCCATCCCAGGGTCTCGCCCAGCCCGGCTCTCCGCTCCGCCCGGAGAGAGGAGCGGCCCCGCGGAGCGAGCCCCACTGTCTCCGGGGATGGGCGTGCGAGGGGCGGCTGGAGGCGATAACCGTGCGGCCGCTGCGGAGGCTCCGCGGGCCGCAGGGAGTGAAAGCTGCCGCACAGTTCCGCCTGTGCGCCGGGGAACGGACGGGCTGCGCTCCGGCTGCCGGGTGTGCGGCCGTGCGTGCTGGGAGCCCCGAGGGCAGCGCCTTCCCCACGCCCACGCGTGTCAGCCAGGGAGGGCTGGGCTGCCGGCCCCGAGGGCGAGGGAGCCCGCGGGATGCGGGAGCCCGCGGGATGCGGGACGGGATGCGGGAGCCCGCGGGATGCGGGAGCCCGCGGGATGCGGGAGCCCGCGGGATGCGGGAGCCCGCGGGATGCGGGACGGGATGCGGGAGCCCGCGGGATGCGGGGCGGGATGCGGGAGCCCGCGGGATGGAGGGAGCCCGCGGGATGCGGGGCGGGATGCGGGAGCCCGCGGGATGCGGGAGGGGATGCGGGAGCCCGCGGGATGCGGGAGGGGATGCGGGAGCCCGCGGGATGCGGGAGCCCGCGGGATGCGGGGCGGGATGCGGGAGCCCGCGGGATGCGGGAGGGGATGCGGGAGCCCGCGGGATGCGGGAGCCCGCGGGATGCGGGGCGGGATGCGGGAGCCCGCGCACGGCGGCCCCGGCGGCGGCCCGGGCAGCGCGGGGGGGCAGTGGCACCTGGCGGCCGCGGCGCCTCACTGCACCCGCCGCGCCGAGCGGCGGCCCCGGTGCGGCGGCCCCGACGGCCGAGGGGCGGACGGGGCGGCGGGGCAGCCCCGCACTGCCGCACCGACCCCAGCCCGGCTCAGCCCCGCCGCACGGGCACCCACGGCGGCCCCACGCCACAGCACAGGCTCAGCACACTCGCTCCTGGCAGTCCCGCAGGGGCAGCTGCCTCGCAGGGTGCCCCACACCTGGGAAACCTCCCCAGGCGCTCCCCGACAGCACCGGGGCTGGCATCACCTCCGTGGCTGCAGCAGCAGCGTAGAAGCTCTGTAACAGCAAAGGAACAAAAGTGACACTCCGGGAATCCCACCCAGCCCTGATGCTGCCAGCTCAGCACGTACAGATCACTCACCTGCAAAGCACGTGGCCTCCAGCCCCCATCCCTCACTCGCAGCCTCTTTCCTCTCGGTTTCAGACGGTTCTAGCGATGCTCACTTGATGCTCCAGATTCAGGCTGCTCTCAATCGCCGTGCTGAATGCTCGAGCCAATGAACCGATTTCCTCTGCAAGAGGAAAGCCTTCAGGGAGGAAGGCCTGTCATCTTTGTCCCTGTGCCACACACCGTGTTATAAGCCAGGCCCAGGAGCAGTGACGCCCAAGAGAGGGAACAGGAATGGGAGAGACAGCGTCTGGGAGCCAGAGAGCACAGCCTCTGGGACTGGCACAGGGCTGAGTGAGGGGAAAGGGGGAATCCCTTTGCCTGAGCAAGTGAGTGCAGGGCCCACTGCACTGGTGTGTCTAAGAAAAGGGCAAAATTCAGAGAATAACTCAAAACCTGTAAATTGAACCCCAGATGACTGGCATTCTCACAGAAAATATCTGTCTGAGAGTAAAGGTGACATACAAACACAGATTTCACTGCAAGGATGAGAGGACTAAATCACCTAAGTCTATGGCAAGGCCAGGTGAGAGGTCAAGGATATGCTGGACTTTGCAAACATCCCCTTCCTGTAGGGGACTGCTGTGTTTTGTAGATGCCTTGCTCTGCCTGGCAGAGGGTCTTCCTCAGATAAGGAGTCTTCAACACTCTTGGCAGAAGCCTCCTTGGTCACTGCTTGGGTGGAAGGACCCAGACAGGGAAGGATGAGGCTGTGCCCTGCCCGCGTGATTGACCCCTTCTGTGGTCAATTTGATCCATTCCAACAGTTCACCTTCACTAAGGCCACCAGGGACTGTCTGAGATGCTTTGCTCAGGCCTGGGATGGTGCCTTTCTGGAAACACTCTGCCTTCCCCCCATGCTCTCTGCATTCCCCAGCACAGACAGACTGCCAATTTAAATTACAAAGCATGACCAGCTGCCTTGATTTTCCATCTCTTTTTGTAGCTAGACGCCCTCAGTCTGCCTGAAGCTAAACACAGCCAACAATGTTGCTCCTGATCCACTACATGGCAAAAGCAGCTTTGATCAGTTCAGTTTGCTGGGACAAAGAGCTCAAGGGGAACATGAGGCCAAAGGCCTGAAGAAAAGGGTTTGTCCCAGAAACACCACTAGAAAGAGAGCTCTCTGCAAGTGGGGAACAGCCGGGATGACATTGTGTTCATCTCAGAGAGGGAGAAAACCTGCCTCATCAAAGGCACTTTCCTCTCATTGCCACCATTGTTGTGCGTGTGACATCTCTGTGATTTTATTGACACCAGAAGTGCTCAGCACTGTCTGCAAAGTGACTCAGTAATGCTGTCTCCCTTTGATTTTCTCTGCAGGTTACCTCATGGCTCTGCCCAAGTGTTGAGATGAAGGCTGGTCAGAAATTGCAAGAGCTGGCAAGTAGCCTGAAGATCTCACATGACAACCCATGGCACACCCTGTCCTACAGGACAGCTGTCTTTACAAGTCTATACCACGCTTAATGACAATTCGTAATATTCATAAAGCCTTAACTCCCAGAGTCCTGGGATTAGGCAAGAAACTTGAATTTTTAGCCTCTGGAACACTGTAGAGAAAAGTTCCACAGGGACAAAGAACAGCAGGCAAAGAACATTTTTATATCAATTCCCTGACGTTTGCATCCAGACGCTCAATTTTTGCATGCGTGCTGCTGACAGCGTTAATATGAGTAATAAGACTCTGCAGATCAAACTCAGTCGACAAGTGCCTGACAAGACAGCCCAGAAAACAGCCTGTTCTCTGCAGCATCCCACACTGAAGACCTGCAGGAGCCTGCCCTTTCCCCAGAAAGCAGCCTGGTCTCTCAGCAGAGCCCTACAAGGAATCAGGCTCGCCAGACAAGGGGGGATGGCCTGGGTGCACACTAATGAGTGAGGCTGAAGGCTGTCAAGCCTCCTGTGATGGCTCCCCTCCAGCAGCTGCCATCCCAGGAGGGCAGCAGTGCCCTTTGCAAGGCACGGCGGCCAAGTTCGCATTCAGCACGCGTGCCTCGAGCGCGGCCCCGCAAACAAACTGACCTTTCCAGCTGTTTCAGGTCATTAATTAGGCATGCTGCCTCCATGTTTATACATCTCCTCCACTCCTCGACTCCAGCATCGCTTCCAGCATCGTCTCCATTGCAGGGAACCAGGACCACCCTCCCCTGTTGCCTCTTGGGGAGAAGGACCTGAGAAATGTTCATGTGGTCCGGGAGTTGCTCACAGCACAAAGCAAACCACATATGGAGAGAGAATCTCTGGGAAGGATCGCTATGGTAATAAGGCTGTAAAATGTGTGTTTTGAGCAAGCAGCCCCAGGAATTGTTTATTTCCAGAAGAGCAGTGAGATTCTGGCAGGGGAAAATTTTAAAAAGACCGGTGAAGGACCAAGGCTTGCTTTTTGGACAGTCTGTTTCAGGCCTAAGAAACTGGACAAACCTAAAGCTATGTCAAGGTATGGCAGCACAGATTCCTGGGGGGACCACATGAAAGGGACAACCATTGGAACAAGGTACAGAAATTATTGCTCAGCAGAAGCTTTCAAGAGCAACTTGACACAAGCATAAAAGAGGAAAGCCTTGTAGCTGTGGGTGCTGCGCACCTGGAGGTAAACAGCAGTCACAGTTTGCTTTGCATGAGCTCTGCAATTTGCATTGATCTCAATATTTGCATATCCATGGCAGGAAGCCCTTGTTGTAGCTGTGTATTTTGATCATGCTGCTGGGCTTATCTGACTATATCAAAGCAGGGTGTCTTTCAGGAGGATTTACCTTACTAACCATTCAGTTACCTTTGGGAGCAAGGCACTGAAATCCCATGGCTCGTCACCCCCTCTGGACTAATGACTGAGTAGGCCCTTCACAGCAGCTTCAATTTGGTCAGTTTTCCTGCACGTCTAGGAAAAGCCAGCAGAGATGCACCTAAGTCACACCAAAATATTGTTTTCCCTTTTACTGTGTTAACTCCAGGAGGAGAAACAGCATAGAAGCTATCAGGGAAGAGGCACAGACATTCCACAGGCAAACTTGGCTTTACAATGTTCCACTGCAAAGTAACACAGCAAGCACACCTTCCATTTCCAGGCAGATGTTTCAAATGTTGTGATTCCTATTTTCCTTCTATTTCTAAATTAAATTCAAAAACTGTCTAGTGTAGCCACCCCTCCAGCTGCTTTGAGACCCCAGGCACATTTCTTCCTACACACATTCAGACCCACAGCCTTTCCATTCCTGCACGTGAGAATTTGGGGTTTGCTCTTTTCACAGATCTCACAGCAATAGCTCACA